ATTCTTCTACACGGTCTTAAAATCTAGAAGGTTCTGTGGACCTCTTCAATGAACTCTGATCTGTAGTTGTTTCCTTTCTATTGGATTCAAGTCAGGTGATTGGCTGGGCCATTCTAGCAGCTTTATTTTCTTTCTCTGAAACCAATTAAGAGTTTCCTTGGCTGTGTTTGGGATCATTGTCTTGCTGAAATGTCCACCCTTGTTTCATCCTCATCATCCTGGTAGATGGCAGCAGATTTTTATCAAGAATGTCTCGGTACATTTTTCCATTCATTCTTCCTTCAGTTATATGAATTTCGCCAGTGCAACACCATGATGTTTTTGGGGTGATGTGCAGTGCCATTTGACCTCCGAACATGGTGTATATTATGGCATCCAAAAAGTTTAATTTTGGTCTCATCTGACCAGACTATCTCTCCCAGTATTTCACGGGCTTGTCTAAATGTTGGGCAGCAAACTTTAAACGAGCTTCAACATGCTTTTTCTTCAGCAATGGAGTCTTGCGTGGTGCGCGTGTATACAGGCCACGGTGGTTGAGGGCATTACTTATTGTTTTCTTTGAAACAATTGTACCTGCTAATTCCAGATCTTTCTGAAGCTCTCCACAAGTGGTCCTTGGCTCTTAGACAACTCTTTTGATAATTATTTTCACTCCTCTGTCAGAAATCTTGTGAGGAGCACCTGGTCGTGGCCGGTTTATGGTGAAATAATATTCTTTCCACATCCGGATTATGGCCCCAGCTGTGCTCACTGGAACATTCAGAGGTATAGAAATTCTTCTGTAACTAATGGCATCAGTGTGTTTTGCAACAATAAGGTTGCGACGGTCTTGAGAGAGCTCTTTGCTTTTACCAATCATGAAATGTTTCTTGTGTGACACGTTGGTAATAAGACACCTTTTTATAGGCCATCAGTTGAGATTGAACCAGCTAATATTAATTTCCATTGACAAGGGGCAGGATTGCTTTCTAACTACTGATAGATTTCAGCTGGTTTCTTGGCTTTCCATGCGTTTTTGAACCTCCCTTTCTTCATGTGTTCAATACTTTTTCCCTGTGTCATTCGACTTTATTACACAGAACTTAATTTCTGAACTTATTTGTTTTATTTTGTTTCTTTGTATGGATGATTACTTGGGTTGTTACCGACATCTGGTGAAAATTTCATGTCAACAGCGCCTTTAGAAAAATATTTACTCAGAAAAATGGTGACGTGTTCAATACTTATTTTACCCGCTGTATATAATATATATGTATGTATGTGTGTGTGTGTGTGTGTGTGTGTGTGTGTTTGACCCTGGACCATTGACGTATGGTTTGTTAGGATAGGACAATATTTTGCAAAGATACAGCTATTTGAAAATCTGGAATCTGAGGGTGCAAAAAAAATAAAAATATTGAGAAAATCTCCTTTAAATTTGTCCAAATGAAGTTCTTAGCAGTGCATATTACTAATCAAAATTTAAGTTTTGATATATTTACTGAATGAAAAGTACAAAATATCTTCATGGAACATGATCTTTACTTAATATCCTAATGATTTTTGGCATAAAAGAAAAATATATAATTTTGACCTATACAATGTAATGTTGGTTATTGTTACAAATATACCCGTGCTACTTATGACTGGTTTTGTGGTCCAGGGTCACAGACACACACACACACACACACACACACACACACACACATATATATATATATGAAGAGTTCAGATACAAGAGACTGTAAGTACGTCTGACGTTTTTCTTTAAATTTAGCATTTCTTTCTGGCTACTATGTATAGGTTTCTATGTAAGTACTGGTACTTCTGATTGGGTTGAGGCTGGAATTTAGCGCATTTGAAGTGAAAGTGCTTGAACATATACTATGTGTGGAGAGCATTCACTCAGTATCGTTATCTCATTTTTGACCAAGATGGATTTTAGAGGCTTTTGCATTGGAACTCTTCATATATATATTAGTGCTGTCAAACGATTAATCGCATCAAAAATAGTTTTTGTTTACATAATATAGCCTATGTGTGTGTAGTGTGTATATTTATTATGTATATATAAACACACATGCATGTATATATTTAAGAAAAATATGTTGCGTTTATATATTAAATATATATTTATATTTTTTCTTAGTTTTAAAATTTAGTTTTAAATTAAGTGTTACTTTTTGCCATAATAGTCCTACTGTTTATCAACTGAAAAGTAAGAAAATCCACATAGTCCTTCAAATAATAATGTGGTCATAATAACGTAGTTTTAGTTTGTAATTTTAGCGTGTTACAACCGGACACTGCTGAAGTGCTTTTAGATTTGATTGAACTATTTGTATGTGTAGGGCAGGCTAAATAGAAATTATAAAATGGATGTCTTTTTTCTCTATTTGTCACATTTTACATGTTTTCAAGAGTTCTTCTCACCAAAATAAGTCTTTTGGAATGACAAACTTGTAATGTATTTTCAGCTGAATGATAGATTTACCAAACTGACTGGGCTTCGCACAAGGTGACAGATGAGGACACCACGGATAAACTTAAAAATGTGTCTTATTTACACGGTTTAACATGGGATAACACTATTGCGCTGTAGATATGCATGCAGAATGTCACAGTGACCTCAAACTACCTGTTTGTTTTACAGGAAGAAGTTAAAATAAAGATAAAGGACCTAAATGAACACATTGTGTGCTACCTCTGTGCAGGATACTTTATCGACGCAACCACCATCACAGAATGCCTCCATACATGTAAGTGTTGTGTACTTGATTTCTCTCCAAATAACACACTCTCAAACGAACACAGATTTATAGCAGCCTACTTCTCAGCTATCATTTGTGATATATGCAGAAGAAATTCATAAGCTGTGTTGTTAAACTGAATACTTACTCATTTTCATTCCACCGTCTCTCTGCAGTCTGCAAGAGTTGCATTGTGAAGTATCTCCAGACCAGCAAGTATTGTCCGATGTGTAACATCAAAATCCACGAAACACAGCCATTGCTGAATCTAAAGCTGGACAGAGTTATGCAAGATATCGTCTACAAACTAGTCCCAGGTCTACAAGAGAGTGAGTACAATCAATAGGATCATTTGAACCCGAGTATCACTTTGTCTCCTGCTCAGTCATGGTTAAATATCCATCTGATCTTATCAGGTGAAGACAAACGAATTAAAGAATTCTATCAGTCACGAGGTCTTGAACGCATAATACAGCCGTCTGGAGAAGGTAAGTGACTCCATGTCGATAGATGCTGCTGTTGATTTGATTTTATTAAGATTGTTATTAAGTATGTTTGCGTTTTCTTGTAGATTCAGTTCCAGATAATACGGGATTACCCTACACAAGCTTTGACCACTCCAAAGCTCATTTCTACAGATATGACGAACAGGTCTCTCTGTGTTTGGAGAGGCAAAGGTAGGAAGACAGCAGTAAAGCTTACGGTGTTTTTCCCCCCGCAAGTTTTTATTTTAAAGAAATTAATACTTTTATTCATCAAGAATGCATTAAATGTATAAAAAATGACAGTAAAGACATTTATAATGTTACAAAAGATTTCAATAAAAAAAAATACTGTTCTTTTGAACTTTTTATTTATCAAAGAATCCTTTAAAAAAAGAATCACAGTTTCCACAAAAATATTAAACAGCTGTTTTCAGCATTGATAATAATAAGACATGTTTCTTGAGCAGCAAATCAGCATATTAGAATGATTTCTGAAGAATCATGTGACACTGAATGCTGGAGTAATGAAGCTGAAAATTCAGCTTTGCATCACAGGAATAAATTGCATTTAAAAATATACATTTACAATAACATTACATTTGCATTTAGTCATTTAGCATAAGCATAAATCATAAGTGACTTACAAATGAGGACAATGGAAGCAATCAAAATCAACAAAAGAGTAATGATATGCAAGTGCTATAACAAGTCTCAGTTATCTTAATGCAGTACACGTAGCAAGGTTTTTATTTATTTATTATATAATAAATAAAAAGAAAACAGATAGAATAGAAAAAGGATAGAGCATGCTAGTGTTTAGAGGCCTTTTTTGCTTTTGTTAATTGTATGATAAATAAAAAGAAAACAAATAGATAGAATACAAAAATATTAGAAAAGCTAGTGTTAGTGTTTTGTTTTTAAAGAAAACAAGCAGTTAGTAAATTAATAGAGTGCAAGTCTAAAAGGGGCAATTTTTTTATCACACACACACACACACACACACACATATATATATATATGAAGAGTTCAGATGCAAAAGCCTCTAAGTACGTCTGACGTTTTTCTTTAAATTTAGCATTTCTTTCTGGCTACTATGTATAGGTTTCTATGTAAGTACTGGTACTTCTGATTGGGTTGAGGCTGGAATTTAGCGCATTTGAAGTGAAAGTGCTTGAACATATACTATGTGTGGAGAGCATTCACTCAGTATCGTTATCTCATTTTTGACCAAGATGGATTTTAGAGGCTTTTGCATTGGAACTCTTCATATATATATTAGTGCTGTCAAACGTTGGGTTGAGGCTGGAATTTAGCGCATTTGAAGTGAAAGTGCTTGAACATATACTATGTGTGGAGAGCATTCACTCAGTATCGTTATCTCATTTTTGACCAAGATGGATTTTAGAGGCTTTTGCATTGGAACTCTTCATATATATATTAGTGCTGTCAAACGATTAATCGCATCAAAAATAGTTTTTGTTTACATAATATAGCCTATGTGTGTGTAGTGTGTATATTTATTATGTATATATAAACACACATGCATGTATATATTTAAGAAAAATATGTTGCGTTTATATATTAAATATATATTTATATTTTTTCTTAGTTTTAAAATTTAGTTTTAAATTAAGTGTTACTTTTTGCCATAATAGTCCTACTGTTTATCAACTGAAAAGTAAGAAAATCCACATAGTCCTTCAAATAATAATGTGGTCATAATAACGTAGTTTTAGTTTGTAATTTTAGCGTGTTACAACCGGACACTGCTGAAGTGCTTTTAGATTTGATTGAACTATTTGTATGTGTAGGGCAGGCTAAATAGAAATTATAAAATGGATGTCTTTTTTCTCTATTTGTCACATTTTACATGTTTTCAAGAGTTCTTCTCACCAAAATAAGTCTTTTGGAATGACAAACTTGTAATGTATTTTCAGCTGAATGATAGATTTACCAAACTGACTGGGCTTCGCACAAGGTGACAGATGAGGACACCACGGATAAACTTAAAAATGTGTCTTATTTACACGGTTTAACATGGGATAACACTATTGCGCTGTAGATATGCATGCAGAATGTCACAGTGACCTCAAACTACCTGTTTGTTTTACAGGAAGAAGTTAAAATAAAGATAAAGGACCTAAATGAACACATTGTGTGCTACCTCTGTGCAGGATACTTTATCGACGCAACCACCATCACAGAATGCCTCCATACATGTAAGTGTTGTGTACTTGATTTCTCTCCAAATAACACACTCTCAAACGAACACAGATTTATAGCAGCCTACTTCTCAGCTATCATTTGTGATATATGCAGAAGAAATTCATAAGCTGTGTTGTTAAACTGAATACTTACTCATTTTCATTCCACCGTCTCTCTGCAGTCTGCAAGAGTTGCATTGTGAAGTATCTCCAGACCAGCAAGTATTGTCCGATGTGTAACATCAAAATCCACGAAACACAGCCATTGCTGAATCTAAAGCTGGACAGAGTTATGCAAGATATCGTCTACAAACTAGTCCCAGGTCTACAAGAGAGTGAGTACAATCAATAGGATCATTTGAACCCGAGTATCACTTTGTCTCCTGCTCAGTCATGGTTAAATATCCATCTGATCTTATCAGGTGAAGACAAACGAATTAAAGAATTCTATCAGTCACGAGGTCTTGAACGCATAATACAGCCGTCTGGAGAAGGTAAGTGACTCCATGTCGATAGATGCTGCTGTTGATTTGATTTTATTAAGATTGTTATTAAGTATGTTTGCGTTTTCTTGTAGATTCAGTTCCAGATAATACGGGATTACCCTACACAAGCTTTGACCACTCCAAAGCTCATTTCTACAGATATGACGAACAGGTCTCTCTGTGTTTGGAGAGGCAAAGGTAGGAAGACAGCAGTAAAGCTTACGGTGTTTTTCCCCCCGCAAGTTTTTATTTTAAAGAAATTAATACTTTTATTCATCAAGAATGCATTAAATGTATAAAAAATGACAGTAAAGACATTTATAATGTTACAAAAGATTTCAATAAAAAAATACTGTTCTTTTGAACTTTTTATTTATCAAAGAATCCTTTAAAAAAAGAATCACAGTTTCCACAAAAATATTAAACAGCTGTTTTCAGCATTGATAATAATAAGACATGTTTCTTGAGCAGCAAATCAGCATATTAGAATGATTTCTGAAGAATCATGTGACACTGAATGCTGGAGTAATGAAGCTGAAAATTCAGCTTTGCATCACAGGAATAAATTGCATTTAAAAATATACTTTACATATACATTTACAATAACATTACATTTGCATTTAGTCATTTAGCATAAGCATAAATCATAAGTGACTTACAAATGAGGACAATGGAAGCAATCAAAATCAACAAAAGAGTAATGATATGCAAGTGCTATAACAAGTCTCAGTTATCTTAATGCAGTACACGTAGCAAGGTTTTTATTTATTTATTATATAATAAATAAAAAGAAAACAGATAAAATAGAAAAAGGATAGAGCATGCTAGTGTTTAGAGGCCTTTTTTGCTTTTGTTAATTGTATGATAAATAAAAAGAAAACAAATAGATAGAATACAAAAATATTAGAAAAGCTAGTGTTAGTGTTTTGTTTTTAAAGAAAACAAGCAGTTAGTAAATTAATAGAGTGCAAGTCTAAAAGGGGCAATTTTTTTATAAAGAATAGAATTAGAATAGAAAATAAACAATAAAAAAAATATTTCAAATTATTTACATTTATTTAAATAAATAAAAATATAAAATAAATGATATACTTGAATAGAAAACTTTAAACTGTAATAATATTTCACAATATTACTGTATTATCAAATTAATGCAGCCTTGGTGAGCATAAGAGATTTATTTTAAAACATAAAAAATCGTACTTACTTAAAGCTTTTGAATGGCTAGCGTAGGTGCATCAAAAGAATCCTATTATAATTTCATCTTGTTTTTACAGCTCATCATTTCCTGGGAAGGACAAAAATAAATTAACTCTACAGGTAAGACAACAGCCGAAGAAGGAATATGAATGTACATTGATTCACTCTCAAGAAAACCTTAACATTGGTTGCTTTTTAAAAAAATCAGAAGCAGTGATACATTTGTTTATTTTATATTGTTATGTTCCTGCAGCAGAAATTTGTGCGTTGTTCTGTCAGGGCTGAGGTACGACATCTGAGGAAAGTGTTATGTCATCGACTTAACGTGGAAAAACATCAGGTGTGACTTTTTTTTTTCTTTGTCTTACTTTATAGAGCCATTGCTTTTACATTTACATACCAGAAAGTGGAAGTACATACATAATTGTGGAAGTTTTACATCACATTCAGTTCAGTCATTCCTATTCTTTCTATCTATCTATCTATCTATCTATCTATCTATCTATCTATCTATCTATCTATCTATCTATCTATCTATCTATCTGTCTATCTGTCTAACTGTCTGTCTGTCTGTCTATCATGCTAAAATAGAATTAAAATTCTATTAATGATGTATTAATAGAAATGACATGTTAGATGAATGTCATTTCAATGGCATCTCATGATGTTTTTGTGGCTTCTGGTCTACTAATTTAAATAATTATTTATTTCTAAGTATATGCAATTGCAACCTGGTATAAAATTCATTCAGTATACAAAATAGTACAAATGAATGTGCTTTTCTGTTGAAAATTAAGTAGGATACAAAGAATTCACCTATTTTCTTTCACTGCGCTTGCAGCTGATTAGTCTGTTGTTAGTGAATGTAACTAAGACACTGTATTAGACAAAAAGACTACTTTTGATTATGTAAATGCATGTATGATTTGTACATCCCAATTAGGACAATTTGTTGTCCAATTCTATAATAGAAAGAATCAAAGTTCAAATAGGACGACCAGCTAAAAATAATTATTTTTAAATTGTGAAATGTAGTTAGAGAGATAGATTTGAAACTAAACCTCTCATTGTTTTCTTTTCCATCCTCCTGCCCTGTTGTCTTCTCTCTTCATTGTGTGCTCTTTGTTGCGCTGCAGGTCCAGATGTTATTCAATAACGAGTCTCTCCCAGATCACATGACCATGAAGCGTCTCTGGCTGTCTCACTGGTTTGGAAAGGTATTGTAGTCCCAAGCGTCTCCAGCTAATTTCATACCGCATTCTTTCACACTATCAGCCCGTTTGCCTTTCCCTGTAGGTGGGATCTTCATTTCTGTAGCGATTTACTGTGCTCCGTTTTACTCACTGAAAGGGGAATCACAGGCAGAGATTTATTAGTACTAGGAGAAGCCATATGCTTGATGTCGCCTTGTGGTCTGAAATATGCAATGGAAGTGCTATTCTCCATATTGCTTCATGGTTTGTGGGGCGTCAAAGCATTGTGAGAATTTAGCACAAGTAATTCCATGCTTCATATGTTTTTAAGTGCGACGGATGAAGTTCTGCCCGCAGTCTCTGTTTAGTGTCAGTCAACACTACTGATACTTTGTTAAACCTTTCATTCGTGTTCTAATGTTTTCCTCTTTGTCTCCCTTTCAGGCACAACCACTGGTACTCCATTATGCTATAAAAGACAAACGGACAAGATAGGATTATGTGAAAATATCAATTGGTGTAAATATTTTGTATTTCACATATTCTATTTTAATAGCTTTCTGTGCATATATACTTATTTTTTTGTTTTGTATTTTTGAAAATAAATTTCAAGTGGTAAAAAAAATATCGGGTTCATTTTCTATTATATTTTTTGTGTCCTTTTCTCTTTTTTTGACTTAAAATACTTCAGTGCAAGATTAAAAAAATGATATGATCATTGTATGAACACAAATTATGTGTAGCCTTGTTAAAGTCGAAATGAAGACTGTCATTTGTATTTAGATCGCCAGTGTTTTTAGAAATGAACCACTAGGGTGCAGTGTTGGTCTTCAAGAGAGCCTTACTAACACCGATCTCCTTCAGTCACCTCACGATGACTCTATTAGGACCATCTCAAGGCATTTTTCATCTCAGAATATATATATATGTAGCGGTCTGAAGAGACAATGAAAACCTTAGGCAGAATGTCGAGTAGAATCGCAGTAGCCTACTAGTATAAAAACGTGCTTTTATATAACTCGTACTATCATCATACGACGGGAAATTAATTCTGCTGTAACTGTTGTGATTGAAAAACGCTTTAGAAAATATACTGTCAGACATGAAAAATCAATAGATGTTCTGTTGATCAGTATAATTTTGGGGAAATGTTCGGGTAGGCTATGTTTAGGCTACGTAAATTTCTTCTCATATTTAATTATTTGCCAGGTAAATTTTACATTTATTTCCACCAGGTAATATTTGTAGGCTACAATGTCGTGTTTTTTTTCTTTCTATCCTTTTTTTTTTTTTTTAAATGTTCAACTTCTTTCTCCATGTATTTGTTCTTTAGACCAAATGGCTAAGACCAAATTTATTTTGCCACAATAAATTCGTTCAGATTTACTTAGGCTAATCATTTTGCGGGTCAAACATGTAGGCCTATACAATACTGTTACTTTGTGCCATTTTATCAACAAATTGTAGGATTATCGCAATATGAATAGCAGGCTATTTTTTTGTCTAGAATACAATCATGCTACGCATTAAAACACACGACTCTGCTCCTCTCTGCTTTCATCGAATAGCCTATTTTTAAGAAAATGAAGTATTATGTACATTTTCGCAATTAGGCCTACTTTATTTTAAATTAAACATTCAGGCTACATAGGCCCATATTTTATATGCGCATATAAACATAACCATTGACGAAAACGAAATCAAATGTAACGCGTTATTCGTACAGGCCTCTAATGTAATTTAGACTTTATTTTCGCGATTCAAAAAGGCTACAACAGCCTACACAACGTCGAAAACTGATTAAAAACAGATTCAAGCGCTGATTGATTTTATTCGTTTTTTTCTTTATAATAACCAATAGCCTTAAATACACGTTTAACGAATGTAGACTAAAAGATGGTGATGATAGGGTTAAATAACATTCAATAATAATGAAGTGGGCTACGTTTCTGTAAGCATTAATTGATTTAATATTATTATTATTATTTCTGGCATTCGTTTTTCATATTGAATTTTCCATTATTAAGACTTTAAATGAAAACAGTAGGCTAGGCTAATTATTTTAATATGGACTTGTTATAGCTAGTAACATCTGTTACAACGCACAAACTGCGTTTCCATACGTCTGCCCGTGTGCAAATCCACTAATAACTAGGCTATTTTACCGCCTTTTGCATGCATGAAAAGTTTAACTATGTAGGCTACATTTTTGCAGAAATTCTATTTAGGCTAACACGGCGAATCTGGCTGTCTAACGTGAAACTGATCTATCGTCCAAGGGACCTTTCAGAGCTTTTAACGCGCTTGGATATGTTTGCGCGAATATCTTCACACTGTGAAATCACGGCTTTCAATCTTCGTAGTCCAACCGCATTCATATTCATATAGGCTACCATCAAATTCCAGTCATCTCGACTCTCAGTAGGAACCCGAAGCATTTGAGCTATTGTGCGGACTTCAATCGCAGCAGAAAACACCAAACAGCTCGAGAATGAGCCGCTGCCTCGACAGCTCTGAGAACTCCGGCTCTCTGGTGAGTCTTTCCACAAAGCGCTCATAAAAATCTAGTTGACTTTTCAACCCCAGCTATTCCAAGCGATTAGGCCAATTGTACTTCCATCTTCTCGCTGCCCCAAAACTGCTGTCTTGATCTGCTCACAACTGACACAAATGGGCCGAAAGAAATTCGGCAGACCAGGATGCAGCAATCCTCCCCATTTCCACCGGCTTCCTATTGAGATTTATTCATTAGGAACCGCATGCAAATCATCTGCTATTCATGGGCGTTTTTAACACACGGGCACAGATGTGGGGTATTATTTGGGCTCGACCGACTGAAAGTGTTATTGCGCGCTCAAAGGCGGGTTAACCTAATCAATCATGTTGACTAGTTTGTGTTAGAGAAGATTCATAAACCATATGGCGCCAGGAGGAAAGCAAGCTTTATGTTGTCCTCGTGACAATGTGAGAGGGGGAACCTTGTTCAGTTGTCCTAATTAAGCTTCAAGCACTTAACACAAACAAACACTCTTCTTAACACACACAATGGCGCGATGTGTAAAAGTGCTCTGCCTCTCTCAGCTGTTTAACTCCACGAGTGTGCCATAAAATAAAACATTTTATGAATGGCAGCTTATCCTTATTACACTGTACAAATCATGCCACTAAAATAGTAGACCAAAACTTAAATGTAATCGCTGCCTTAAAATTTTAGGTGGTCCTAAATGTTTTCAACCACTCTGCAATTTAATTACCGATGAGAAAAGAAAAAAGGATAAAAAAAGAGAGAATTATTTGTGGTGGGGGAAAAAATGTTGTGGCATAATTATGTATATATATATATATAAAAAAAGTGATTTTGAGATATCTTGCAAAGAAAATTGGATTTCCTATATCCACAGGGTTTATAGGGAAATGATTATTTCATAATTCTGCTCAGCATACAATGCATGATTAAGCTTTGACTCAAGGTAAGGAAACATTGTGAAATTGCATATACCCTTTATTTACATAAATGAGGATTAAATAGAATGTTACAATAAATTTAAGGAGTTAGATGCATCATAACTTGTTATATATACACACAACCTTGCCCTTGCATTGTTTTGGACATACATTTTATTTTTGTAATAATTTGTTAATAATGCCAGTAGGAAATGTGCAAGGAACTGGGATATATAATGTAAAACTTTGGGAACGGAGTTTTGACCATTACAATGTAGAAACAAGATTGAACAAATTCGCTTTCTGATGACTTCTGAAATTATTTATAAATATATAATTCTATTCAGCGGAGAATTTAATTGAAAATCACTTTTGGCATAGAGTTTCTACAGCGGTCATAAATGTGTTGAATGGTGTAAACAATTGCACAATTTCTTTCGAAAATCGAGAAATAAAGCTTAAAATGTACATACACATGTTGCAGTCTTGATACTGTACCATTTATCTCTAAGCGTTTCTCAGATCTTATGAAAGTGTATTCCTTAAACCATGTCTTCGATCTGGACATCAGAACGTAGAGGTCATTTCAATAAATTAAAAATAAGGGAGACAAAACTTTCCTTGCATTTCAAGTTCTTCTGCAGAGTCCGTGCAAAAGTTGTGAAAAATGCCCTTCTCTGAAAACAAGGGCCTGCTTTTAATCGTCCACCTCGATTTCCTCGTCCTCCTCTGAGAACTCGTCTGTGGTTTGGCCTCTGGACGAGGACGGGGACTGTGGAAAGGCTCTTGGGGAAAGGCTGGGAGAAATGGGCCCCGAGCCACCGTGAGGGTCTTCCATGTCTTCCATGGACACCAGTTTCTGCAATGCCTTTGGCGGGATTTTCTTGAGAGACTCCACATCCGCCTTCATTTCCTCCAGGTCTCTCTTGAGCTTGGCCCGTCGGTTCTGGAACCAGGTGATGACCTGCGCGTTGGTCAGACCCAGCTGCTGTGCGATCTGGTCTCTGTCGGCCGGTGACAGGTATTTCTGGTACAAAAAGCGCTTTTCCAGCTCGTAGATCTGGTGGTTGGTGAAGGCTGTGCGGGACTTCCGCCGTTTTTTGGAGGCCTGTCTTTGGCCGAAGGCGTTGTGATGTTCGCGACCTTTAAATGGAAAGAAAGGAGAGTTGATTTCCAGGAACACATGACAGGAATAACGCAGGCGGTGTGTGTGGGTCACAATTCAGAATAACTTTCATCAGTAAGTCATTCCCAGACACTGTAAAGCTAATGCTCATTCAGTAAACTGAAATGTGAACTCACAGCAAAATGTGCAAATTTCCCATTATTTAAATGCACATTGACTATTGATTTGTGAAGCATTCTTCTTGAAGGTTATTTGGAAGCTCTTTGATGGTCTTATTTTTGGCTGTACATGGTTCTTGAGTGGATATTTGGTTCTCTGGAGATTAAAAAGTCTTTAATGTTACATTATCGGTTCTTTAGATCAGCGTTTTGGATTCTAGGATCTTTCAAGCAACATAACAGACTGTAAATGTTTATTTTGTTTTGTAGAACTTAAAAAAGTTTCTCCTTTGGAATCAGGCTGCAAAATCCTATTTGGTTCAAATTAGAAACTTTATTTTTAAGAGTGTACACACTGTTGTGTTATGTGATAAGCTGCAGTTGTTCATTCCAGCTGCATAACAGCTGTTCTTGAAAAGAGGGGGAGAGACTCTCCAAAACATCTGAACTATTGATTGCTAAGTAAATTCGAAATATTTGATGTGTTAATCAAGCAGCCTATCACGCCACAGAACTGGCCTCAATCTTATTACAGACGACCTTAACCGTTAGCTTGACCCACTAAACAGTTCTGCAATGTCAACACGAACGTCATGATCGAGGACTGTTTTCAGTAAATGTGTCAAGTGAACATGAATGATTTCCATCTCTTTAACATTCTTGTAAAGGCACGGTGCGTTCTATCATGCTAAGCTGTATTTCTGAAAACAAAGGTTTGGAGCATTTTTGAGATCTACAAAGAATTGGTTCTGGAGAAACCATCATTTACTGGCATCATGTATCAAGTATCATGAACCAGTATACTGATATTTTATCGTCCAAAGAACAATTTA